CGACATCATCTGTGATCAAAACTAACACGATATTCGTGATCAGCATCCCATAAAACCCCTCAGCACTCAGCAGCCACACTTTATGACTTTCTAACAGGTCCCGATATTCCCGATTTTTGGGTCATTGACCTGATCTGGAAGGTCAACCGATGACCTAGGACCTGAAAATTGGGTATCATTGGCTTCCTCTCGTGACGGGCAGCATGCTCGTTTTTTCCGCGAAGCTCTTGCTCCATCGACCATCAGGAGCCAAACGCGAGGGGGGGGGTCGTACCAACCCCCCTTGTGCCATCAAAGGACTCAAAATGGCCGGTCGGAGAGGCCATCGTAACCTAAAATGGCCTGTGCCGGCAATGGTTTAAGTCATTGGATCAGTCCAAGATCAGCCGAAGTGTGGTCCCTCCTATATATATAGGTTTATAATATATAGCCTTGATAGGTATTTCAGTAGGCGGAACTATGGTCAAGCGTACCCATTTTCGGGAACGCATTTTCGTTCCCATGTTTGGGAACGATAAACCCAAATATGGGAACGCCATGTAGGCATTATTTAAAACAAGAAAAAGAACCGTTAAATGACGTCCAAAAGATATAAAACGATCGTGAACCGCCTGATATTTGTCTCGATATTGTTGGGAAAGAGTTTGATATTGTAAGGTCCATCGTAGTTTCAAATCGTTCCCCTATTTCTAAAGCAGTCCATCATCCGGGCCGCGAGCCCAAATTTGGGAACGCTCTCGTACACTGGCGCTGCAAGCGTTCCTTATTATGGGAACGGCGTACCCAAAATTGGGAACGATTTCACCGACGCCTTTCAGGGACTCTTTTCATTAAGAAGCATCACGTCCAACGCCGCAAATTATTGTTAACGCAACAATCATCAGATGACCTTTCCGGCAAGACCGTCGCATGTTTCGCCCGGTCTTCTGCGCTTTTATTCCCGTCGATCTCGCAGCGGGCAGCGTATATTCGGATGCAGTATGAGCAGAGCATGGGTCCCGAAAAATTCCTCAGAAACTAGAGAAATTCTCGGACACACACGACGGGTACCATATGAATGCGGGTGAGACTAAATGCTTACTTCGAAATTTAAGCTGCGTTGCGGCATTGGTGGTTATGTGCGGCGTGTATGCCGCATGATTAGTAAGCGGCGACCACTAAATTAAAAACTCAATAGCTTTGACCTGTTTTCAATGGATAACACTGCATACCAAAAATGTCCATCGCTCTCGTCATAGGATATTTAGATTTAAATAACTAACTTATCTACATCATCGTTTTGAACCAAATTAATACTTTCAACTTGACCCTCGCCCGTATTGGTGTTTTTTTTTTTCCAGCCGCGAACGTATAAGGTATAACCCCTTGCCGTTTCGCTCCTGATCAAGCTAGAGCTTCGCGGAAAAAAGCAGCGTGTTGCCCGTGACGAGAGGAAGCCGATGATACCCAATTTTAAGGTCCTAGGTCATCAGTTGACCTTCCAGGTCAGGTCAATGACCCAAAAGGCAGGAAAATTGGGACCTGTTAGAACGTTGGACGTGGTGAACGTGGCCGTGGGACCTGAAAAAGTTGCACCTCTATGTAATATGTGGGTTCGATATACTGTGTGACGTTCCAAGAACTATTTGGGAAAAGTTGCACCTCCGGAGAGACGGACGGACGGACGGAGAGACGGATGGACGGACGGATGGAGAAACGGACGGACGGATGGACGGACTGAGAGACGGAAGGGCGGACGGACGGACGGACGGACTGAGAGACGGAAGGGCGGGCGAACGGACGGAGAGACGGACAAAGAGATGGACAGACGGACGAGAGAGAGAGAGAGAGAGAGAGAGAGAGAGAGAGAGAGAGAGAGAGAGAGAGAGAGAGAGAGAGAGAGAGAGAGAGAGAGAGAGAGAGAGAAAGAGAGAGAGAGAGAGAGAGAGAGAGAGAGAGAGAAGGGTGGTGAGAGAAAGGAGGATCAGATGAAGGAAAAGACTTAGAGCTATGGATATTACTTGTCAGAGACTCGGGGAGGACGGGAAGGAGACTGATACCTAAAGAGAGGAAAGATGATCGTGCGCAAGGGGTTTGGGAGATAGGTAAGGAGACAGGGGAAAATGAGATTTTATTGCTCCGGTCCCAATAACACTTCCCAAAATAAAATATAATTGGTCGTAATTATCGAATAAGAATCGGAAATTGTCAAATGAACGTCTGATTTGCTTACATCGATCCGCCCTATACCCTGTTTGACATGTTTGCACCAAAGCCAACTTGCAGGCTATACATCGAGCCAGTGGTATATACTATACAATAAATACATCTCTCCCGGTGGTATACCTGCATAGAGCCGAGACCTCCGGCTGTATTTTCCCACGATCAGCCGGATTGCAAAGCCGTGTATTTTTCGTCCGTTGCAGGCGGCCGGCGCAATCTCCGTGAAAGAAGCGCTCCAGTGACAAAAGCACGAGCAGATCGCCTAAATGCCGGAGGCCGCGAGAATTTCTCTAGTTTCTGAAGAATTTTTCGGGACCCATGCTCTACTCATACTGCATCCGAATATACGCCAGCGGGCACGCCCCCCTCTGCAGGATTACGTAATTCACAACGCTCAGCGATGTTCAACAAGGTCTTCCATACCTATATCCACCGTCCGCGCCGAGCGTGGAGACATGTCAAGCACCTGTCTGTTTATCACCGATAGTTGACGAGCACAAGGAAGGGTTAGGTTAGGGTTTATATAGCCTTGCAAGGAAGTATCCAAAAATGGGAACGCTGAATATGTTCCACCCTCAAAACACCTAGTCCCAATGAAAATCTAGTTTTTCCCTTTCTTGATGAGTGTAAGTGGCAAAAGGCCTGGTAGGATGGGCACGAGGAATGATCGAAATCAGCATAAAAATTATAAATAAGCCACACAGAGCAACCTATATAAGAGAAATTCCCCCAAAACGATCATGCTTAGAAACACGGAAGACAAAAACCACGCTCATGACGCTCCTTATTAAACAACTCTAAACAGCTAGCATCCAAATAAAATATGTCTTTCTGGGATGATAAAATACAGCTGAATAATTTTAAACCACTGAAACTGAGTTTACAACAGTAGTTCGGTAAAATCACTGACGTTCCATGCGGTCGTGCGCCCCGACACCAAATGTCACCAATATTACCCCTGGACTGTCCGCGTGTTCGCTTGCATATGTCAGCATCTGGTGTCGCTAGTATGAAACTTCATAACCAGGCGAAAATTATTATGCTTGACCTCAAAATGTAAAAAACGCTTCAATTTCCTTAAAATTGCAAGTTAAATGTAGTATAACCCTTGTTTTCACCATTCCGTCAATTCAAAAAATCCTTAAAAATATCGTTCGACGGTCAATTTCCTTGTGCAACGGTCAGATTAAAGATAATTTTATAGAGACTTAGTAGATACTTAAAGGAACCCTCCCAGATTTGAGATTAGATTTGAGTTGAGATAGCCAAAATGGGGTCCCTGGCTCACAATTACCGGTTTCGGCACTCACAACATCGAGAAATGCCTTAAATCGGAAATATTGAATTTCAAAATTGCAGCATTTTGATTCAGAGGGGCTAATGCATAGGAATACCCCTCTGAATGTGTGACGTCAGCGCAGATGTCTAACGATTTTTAAATGTTTTGACTAAAACGTTTTGTAGCACGCGGTGGTATATGCTATTTGCGCGCAACATCTGCCGCAAACGCCGTACTTTCAAAATGAAGTCGCTAGAAACAGCGGAGATCCCAAAAAAAGTAAACAAAAGTAAAAGTCTAATATCTTGAAAACCGGTGAATATTTTTCGGTGAAATTTGGTAGATATTCGTTTTCGCTCTTTCTGAACCGAGCGACATCACTTTCATGCCAATTCATAAACCTTTTTGAAGGTGGGAGGGTCCCTTTAAATTAGCGTGCACTTTTTTGAAACGTGATGCACTAATGAGTTTTATTGGGCGAACGGCCGAAAAATTACCTTCCGTTCCCATAAATGGAAACGCCCGTTCCCATATTTGGGAACTCCGTTCCCAAAAATGGGAACGTTCCTATATTTGGGTACTCATGACCAGTAAATATTTACTTTAGGTCTGCAATATTATTTTAACAAGAAAAAATGCACATTCTTACACTATTTGATGTCCTGAATTCAGATATGATGCTTAAATGCATCAAAAATGTAAAATAAGATACTAAAACCCCAGCACATTACCCCACATTGCTGCACAATATACACTGAAGAAAGCACGCTTCCGCGACAAAAACGAAACATACAACGCTGCCCTATAAAAGAAAAAAAATGATGTGGATATTCATTAGTTTTCGACGTTATGAAAATGACGTCATAATACCAAAGCACAAGAAAAACGGTGAATAAAAAAGAGAATATATTTAGCAAAGCTAATAGAGCATGAGAAAATGATCAGAACATAACCAAACCTTACCTAACCTGACCTACTGATGTTTGCCTACTGGGGGAAAAGGAAAAAGTGACTTGCATGAATAGATTGCAAGCAATGGTAAGTCAAATATTTTCAGGTTAAGTGGTTATGCATCAGGCTTCAGGCCTTCGGCCTGAAGCCAGATACACAACCACTTAACCTAAAAATATTTGACTTACCATTGCCTGTAATCTCTCCTAAGGCATTGCCTTCGGCACTGCACCGCTCCGCCTCGATTATTTTGACGTCACTTTCCTTACAATTTATTATCATCCGTAATTTCGCTCAACCTTGGTTGGACCATTTGTAGCGGGTGCGCCGCGCAGACGGTCTTTTGACACGTGCAGTCGGAGGTGGGGCCGGCGGTGGTGATACTGGTGATACTAGTGTACTGGTGCTTTTAAATTGGTTTCTAGAAGGAATAAGTATCAGAAATGAAATCAGGAGGTCTTAGAGTATCGTGTGAATGACTTTTATTTACCCCTCTGTTTTGCGGACCTAAAGTAAATAAATACCCTCATGACCATAGTTCCACCTACTGATTTAACAGTTATCTCACCTGGTTCGGAGTTCTTGCTGGTTCCTATCAAAGACAAAACCTTGGACTAAACAAACTGTGTACACGGCGTATACGTACTTAAAAAAACAATTATCATTAGCAAGCATCCACGGGGCATGGCCGATCCACGGTAAGTTCTGATGATTCATTACATACCTCTATAATGATTCACAACTCACCCGTTTCATATCTTGACCACCCCGCATTTGATGTCTCTCGGACGATGAAGATTCTACGTCATCCGGCCAATCACGTTCCATAACCGCAGCGGAGCCCCTGCTGACCCTGATCCCGGATTGGCCGGACGACGTACAATCTTCGTCAACCGAGATATATCGAACAGGGCCTTGCATCGAACGTTTGAAACATCTGCGTCAGAGGCATAGCTTTTCATAAAATGTCCTCTAAAATGCAGCAACATTTCCCACTAATTCACTGCATAAACCAAATAGCATTTATCATAAATTTCTTTCCTCAAATGACATTCGGAAGCATAACGGGCCTTTATTTGAAGATCAAAACTAGCTATTGAAAGTTATAGAAGCATACTGTTCTTGATTTAAAGTGAGATTCAGGGGAAAAAACATCACTTGACGATACTCTACGACTTCGGTGACGTCAATTGAATCTGCCGCCCACTGAGACACTTGCACCTAACCTAACCCAGCCGACCTGCCTTTCTGTAAGAATCAAGACCTGTCCTACAACATACAAGAATCATAACTCATAAGAAATATGATTGCATGATGCCTACATCTGCATGCAGCACCACTCGTTGCATTTCTGTCCTAGTTCGGTTTCCATCGTCCAAGCAAACCCAATACCACGGAAAGCGTGACGCACTGCGGCGCCATTTCGCGAAACAGGGCCCTGCTATTTGCCGTCCCAACAATAGCCGCCAGCCGGGGTCCGTAAAAAAGCGGTGAAACGACAGGATTTGTAATATGCGTTCCAGGCCACACCAAATGGACGAGCACCAGAAATCCATTCCTTTGCGGCTGGCGTCACGTGAAGTTCCATAGTATTGTATTGCTAACGTAGGCTCTTCAGCTCGGCCGGCCACCGCGGGTGACTCATTACTGCCGTTGGCTGATTAAAAGATTTGGGATCCTGCGACTCTGACTTCGACCCTCACTTGGTATCAGACGCCAGATCATGACCTGCAGCTTCACCCTGAACTGTGAAAAAAAAAACATTGCGACACAAACCTTTATTCCCTACCGCGGAGACTATACAAGGGTGTCAAAATGCAACATGCCGGACCAGAACGGGCAGTACATCAGATGGAAGTAACGACATGAAAAGCAGTACAATACGATTCCTGATGCATTCATCTTGGCGACTACTACATGCTCGCATCGTGCAATGGCAGCGACACACTCATACCAAAGTGACCAATCTCACGCACAACTCCGGCAGAAGTCGCTGGCGACAGGCACAGCCAGCGACCGGGCAGGATCCCTCACAGCTACCGTCGAGCGCCGCGTGCCGCGTGCTCTGCCCGCACACAGCACGGCTCGTATCCCGTTCAGTACGCCCACCGCGCGCCGTCCGCCGGCTCAGCTGGTGCTCGACGAGCTGCTGGAGCTCGGCGAGCGGCGGCGCTCCTTCTTCCGCCGGGCGCGGCGCCGGCGCGAGCTGTCGCTGTCGCCCGTCGACGGCGACGACGAGCGCGACGAGGCGGCGCGCCGGTCGCGCTCCGCCAGCCGCATGAAGTAGCGCTCGTAGGCCTCGTAGTAGCCCTCGTGTCGCGGCGGAGAACGTGAGTAGGAGCGAGAACGCGAGCGGGAACGAGAGCGGGAGCGAGAACGCGACCGCGAGCGGGAGCGGGACCACGAGCGGCCGCGACCGCGCCCACGGCCGCGCGGCTGCCATCGGCCTCGGAAGCCACCGCGGAACGGTCGGAATGGCCGGCCGCCGCGCGCCACGAACGGCCGCGGGGTGCCGCGTCCGCGCTCCACCCACTCCCTGTCCACCCAGCCGTCCACCTTGGACCAGACGCGGCTGAAGACGCGCCGCGGCGCGTCCCCGTCCCCGTCGGCCGGCTCCGGACGCGTTTTCTCGCCGCCCGAGTCGCTGGTGTCCTCGCGCACCCGAATCTCCGCCTCGCCGTGGCTGCTCGAGCCAGACGAGTGCGAGCGCTGGCGGCCCTTCTGCCGTTTGTAGTGGAATCGCTCGTCGTCGGGGTTGACGCGCAGGGGCGGCAGGGCGCCGCGGCCCCAGGGGCGCCGCATGCCGCGGCCGCCGCGGCCCCGCCACTCGTTCCCGTCGGCGTCGTACAGGAAGGGCGCGAAGCCGCGGCCGCGCATGCCCGGTCGGCCGCGGAACGGGGCGCGGCCGCGCGCGCGGAAGGCGGCCACGCGCGGATCGGCCGGCGGCCCGTCCTCGTCGGACCAGTAGTCGCGGGACGGACTGTTGTCCATTCGCATCCGACCTGCGGCGGAGGGACGGGGAGTCACAAGTCAGGTGATGAGCTAGCCAAACTACCTAACGGTCTTTTTAACATTCACCGACACTAGGCTGCAGACATGAACCATATTACTTTAAAGCGCATCATTACGCTGGTTTATAATAACATTCTGTCCTATTTGCTTCACAAAAGTACTGTCATGTCCCGCTCTTAGACGACAAGAAAAAAAACAGTAATATGAAGGCATTTACTTGCGAATTTTAGGGACGATATTTCGACAAAATAGCTGCAATGCAGCTGGCACCAAGCAACCAACGCTGGCAACAGCTGGCAAAAACGAAAACTGCGCCGAACAGACATACTCACCATAGCGTCTGCCGCCGCTGCCCGACCGGGACCGGGAGCCGGACCGGGACCGTGAGCGGGAACGGGAGCGGGAGCGCGAGCGCGACAGAGACCGGGACGAGATGGTCGACCTGGACTCGGAGCGCAGCCGCGAGCGGGACGGTGACCGCGAGACGGACGACAGCGACGAGCTCGAGCTGCTGGTGGACGAGCGGCGCGCGCGCGCCAACACGCTGCGCAGCTGGCGACACAGAGTGGCGCGGGTCATACATGGCGGGACTCTGGGGCACCAGAGCTGATCCGTGCATACAATACAGGGCGGGACACTGGCACACGGGGACACATCATACATATTATAGGGCCGGTACATGGCACAGCGCGGAGCCCAACTCGCAAGCTCACATAAAAGGGGCTGACACAAAGAGCGACACAAACCACCTGTCTAAAAACAACACCTAAGAGCCTAAAGAATACGACACACTGAAAAACCGCATTTTGAACCCAGCTCCCAGCTCAGTATGACAACAAAAGGTGAATGTTTGTGGTAAAAGTCAAAGTCATTGAGGAGCTCTTGTGAAACCTGACGTGGCGAGTACTGTGTTTCACGATAACTGCATTTACTGTACGCTGGATATTTGATATTTGATAACGCAGCTATTTTACCAACACACACAAGCGGAACATAATCTGAAGAGCTGGCAATCATCACACCACCTGCCTGCCGCGGTCAGCCTCCAGAGATAAAGACAAATCCCTGATAAAGTCAATTAAGCTGAAAATAAGCATCACAGTTCCTTTTTGAAAGCCCAGAATGTTTGATAATGAAACCACACATCTCCCCAGACGGCAGACAAAGTACCTACCTTCTTTTTGCCTTCGATTGCCTTCCTGAGTTTTTCTCTCTGCTCCTCCATCCGTTTCTCCTCGAAAACCTTGTACGTCGTGACTAGCTTGTCTCGCAGCTTCATCTCTTTCTGTTGCAGTTTATCCTTCTCCTCCTTTTCTTTCGCCTGCAATAGATCCCGGCTGTGTGAGGCCACCACGCCACGTGAGCACGCTGCATTCCGAGTCCATCGGAGGACGTGTGGATAGTGGGAAACAGCAGGCGTACATCGGCACCCTTCAAAATCACTGGCGAACTGCCGCACAAAGCTGGACCGACGACCAGCTCCGCGGGGCTCGGATATGCTGCGGGGCCGGAGAGGTCGGGTCAGGTCGGTCGGTGTCGGGTCGGCTCAGGGCTGGTTCAGGTCGGTTCGCTCAGAGCTGACCGGTTCGAATAGGACTCCATCGGACCTCCGTCCCCACACCGGACGGCGGCGCCACTCACCAGTCGCAGCTTCTCCGAGGCGCCGTTGCGGTGTTTGGCGATGATGTTCTGCACCTCGGCCTCCTTGCGGCGGGCCTCGGCTCTCAGCCGCTCCGTCTAGAGCGGGCCGGGGCGTCAGATACGGCTGACTCAGGGGGCCGGCCGCGGGGCGTCAAACACACCTTACTCGAGGAGGGGGGGGGGGGGTGGCAGTGCCGGGTTCTCTGACAGGGTGAGGGAAAAGCACGAACAAACATCACACAGAGACGAGGCACGAGCTCAAATACGAGTCAACCTCGCTCAAAGCGTGACATCAATAATAAAATAGCCACGAGCCACAATCTATGGGTAATAATGAAATCGTTTTGAGGGAATCATTTACTCTTTAAGGTACGTACAACAACAAGGACGAATGCGTACATTTGCCGGCCCTTCATTCGCCGACTTCCCACGAGACCCGGAGTCTCAGAATACTGACAGAGCGCCGTGCCGATCTGCGTAAGACTTATCACCCATCATGACGTCCATAATATTTTTACTACGTGGCTCAAGGGGGCCGACCTTATCAATATACAAGTAAAACCTTTTAGCGTAGCGTACTACATGCTCATTTTCACATGTTACCAGACATCAATTGGCCATGTTCGCATCCAGTACTGAGAGAAGCAATTACTAACTATCGAGTGAAGAGCATCGTCTTGCTACCCAAAATGATAAAAAAGATTACCGTTGCAAATATGGTGAAGTAGCAGAACGAACATTAACGGCTCCGAAAAATAATTTAGCCTGATTGCTGATCAACAGCGACAGGTAAGTGGGATGACCAATTCGAAGCCAAACGAAGCATAACATTCAATTTTTGCGTCCGACAAGCTTCTCATCCAAAGGACGCCACGTAAATGGGCCCTAAAACGCCTCCCATCCTACGCTGTCGTCAGCGTGTCGTCACCTATATCCCTATTCCACGCTGTCGCCACCCACATCCCATATACCTTGTTACCACACGGAGGGATTATAAGGTCTTGACACCAAGCTAGCACCTCAACACAGGACCGGAACTGCATCAGCCCATAGCTGAAAATGGAGTTAATCAGCATCCGC